TCCTTCTTCTTCTTCTTTTTTTTTTTGTTTTTTTGAGACAGGGTCTCACTATGTAGTTGAGACTGACCTGGAACTCACTATGTAGCCCAGGCTGGTCTTGAACTCACAGCGATCCTCCTGCCTCAGCCACCTGAGTGCTGGGATTACAGGCATGTACCACCACGTCCAGCTCTGGTGTGAATGTCTTTGAATGTGATTCTCGGTACATCTCTCTTGGGTCACATACCAGGGCCGAATTACTTAGGCATCGCGTTTGCATATGTTCAGCAATGGTAGATATTGCCCTACAGTTCTCCTCAGTGATGACTACGTCAGTTCATCTTTCTGTTGGGAATTGTGAATGAGGGTTCTAGTTCTCTTCATCTAGGCCCACCTTTGTATACTGTCACTCTGTAACTTCAGATACTCAATAGGTGTGAGTAGTCCTCCCTGTGGTTTCATTGGCGTTTATCTGACAGCTAATGGGGCTGGATATACTTTCACTGGCTTTTGGATATACTTTTTATGCTTTTTACTTATTTTACAAAAGAGATTAGGTTCTGTTTTATTCATTGACTTATAGACATTCTCTGGATATTCTGGATTCTACTTCTATTTTTTTTTAATTCTTCACCATAGTCTTGTGAATTAGATGGCAATTCACACAGGCAGATACTACAGTCAGAGAAGTTGAGTAACTTGCCCAAGGATACTTGGGCATTAGAGGATTAAAACTCTCCCTTCTTTCCAGTGGCTTATAATTTACTCAGTTGGGGAAATAACATTCAGAGAACAATTAGTATGTGGAGAACAATTAGTAATATTAGCCAGTAAGTATTAATTTGGGTGGGGAAGACTATGAATAACATGATAGTTAAATGACCTGGCTGAACTTCCTAGAGAAGTAGAACAGTTATAATTGAGGAAGTAGAGAGGAAGGGAAAAGCATTTCAGGGAGGGTGAGTCACAGGAGCCATGTCATGGGGATGGAAGTAAGAATGTTACTAACCCCATCTACCGGAGACTGGATTAAGATGATGTGGTTTTTCTATAAAATGGAATACTACTCAGCCATAAAGAATGAGAAATTAGAGTCATTCATAGGAAAATGGATGCATACTGATGATATACTCTTAAGTGAAATAAATAAGTCACACATGTATAAATACCAAATAGTTTCTCTGATGTGAAAAACTATAAGTGTACATAAGATCCTAGTGGTATAATTGACAATGTGAAATGGGAAGAAAAAGGCTAAAGGTGTAGGGGAAGTGGGAAAGGTAGAGTAAGGAAATAAGGGAAAATAAAAATTATGAGAAAATGAAAAAATGGAAATAATGTATTTGTAAATAGGGAAAGGAGGAGAGGGTGAAGGGAGGGCAGGGGTATGGGGAAAAAATGAGAACCAAGACCTGACATGTTGGTGTTTTTTTTTTTTTCTTTTTGGTACTGGGGATTGAACTCAGGACCTTGCATTTACAAGGCAGGCTGTGAAACCACTGAGCTAAATCCCCAGCCCCCAAGACCTGTCATGTAAAGGTACAAGAGCCCAATGCTGAATGTAACTGTACTGTATACCTAAAGTGTACCAATAAACTCATTAATGATGGACATTTAGGTTTCTTCTGGTTTGGTATTTTTAATAAGCTATGACTTTTTGTAGATGAATTTTAATACACATCCCTGATTATTTCCCCATAACACTATCTGAAAACATTTGAAATCTTTTTTGATGCATATTACTAAATTGCCTTCCTGGAAGATTGCACTGATTTATACTCCTATCAACTGTATTTCAGGGTTCCTGTTTCCTCACACTCTTAAACTTGTGTGGCTATTAGAAACAAGTAAATACATTTTACCAGTTTGTAAATGGCATTTCTTGAAGCTTTTCACATGTGTGTCAGCCAGTTTTCTCTATTGTAACAAATGCCTGAGATGAATCAATTTATAGGGGAAACGTTTATTTTGGCTCACAATTTTGGAAGTTTCAGTCCGCTGGATTTGGCCATGGTGCTTTTGGGCCTGTGCTGAGGCTGTGTATCATGGTGAGAGTGCACGGCTGAGCAAAGGGCCCACTAGATGGCGTCTGGGAAGTACAGTAAGAAAAAAGAGAAGGGCTGGGGATTCAGCTCAGCAGCACAGCGCCTGCCTGGCAGTTGCGAGAGCTTGAGTTCGATCCCCAGTATAAAAACAAAGCAAAACAAAACAAATCAAAAACAAACAATCCCCCAAGTAAAACAAAACAAAACAAAGAAGAAAAAAAAAAAAAGGAAGAGACCGCAGTCCCATAACCCCCTTCAAGGCCATGTCCACATGATCTAAGACTTCCCACTAGGCCCCACCCCTTGAAGGTTCTGCCACTTCCCAATACCTCTACAAAGGGGACCAACCTTTAACACACGGGCCTTTGGGGGACAGTGCAGACACGAGCTCTAGCAATATGCTCACTGGCTGTCAGTATAGATTCTTTCGTGATTTAATTATTAATGAAATGTAGACTTTTTGGCTTAGATTAATTTGCAGAGTTGCTTGCCAAAATGGCTGATTAGTTTATGCTCGAGTATGTATTTTTCTTTTTTTGTGAATTGTCTCCGATCTCTTGATTATTTAAGATAAGAATTTCTTTGTTGTTGTTTTTAGGTAGAAATATTCATTTAGATTGGAAGGTAGAATGAGAATTGCTGAAAATGTTTTAGGGAGAAGGTGTATGCTCAGAGTTGAGGTTATGGAAGAGATAGAAATTGAAGTGGATGAATATTGAGCCAGATGTGGCAGAATGAAAAGGGAGGGTGGGTACTGGGCTACTAAGATAACTGTGGTCCTTACTAAGCTCTAAGACACCACTCTTTACTTAGTCTTTTAAAAAACCACAAATAACTAAGGTTGTTTTTGTTTTGAATCAATGTCTCCAAGGCACATCTTCATCAGAGTAAAGAAAACGAATCAACAAAAGAAATTGACCATCAGGTTATTTATCACTTTTAATTCAAAAACCCCAGTAAACCATATGGTCAAATGTTAGGAGACTCATTAGATGACTGGTTACTTAGGAAAGCTTCTTATGGAATTGTGCATACTTTAGATTTTTTATTTCAGCCATGGGAACCACCACTTAAATTATTCTGCTAGCTTATTTGAGTCAGAAGACAGGATCTGTAAGGAGTGGTGTTTAATAAAAGTTTGTTGAATGGATAAATCGATGAATCAATTACAGGCATAGATTCAACCATACTTGATCAAATAAGTCATGAATTTATATTAATCAGGTGCAAGAAGACCATAATTACCTTGTAGTCATATCTGAATTTTTAAAATTTTATGAAACAGAGCAAAAATTCACAACAAAATAATAAGAGAATAGCAATATTTAATACATTGTATATCGTTATCTTTGAAGTAGTTACTCAGAGCACAAGACATTGACAAAAAGATCCTTACACAGAAGGAACAGATATTAGCACAAAGCTTTCTTTTTAGTGATCTAAGAGAAGCTAGCACTACAAATGAAACAAATTAGCACATTTATCACAGTATTTTTGAAGCAACAGAATAGGTAATTTAAAAACTCGAAATATATAGATCAAATTATTTTAAGGGGTAAAATTTTAGGATACACTCAAAGTCCTCCTAGGAAATATCATGAAAACTAAATAGTTTATGAGTTAGCATTTTATGGTAAGGGAATATTGCAAAGTCTCATAACTTTCTATGGCTACATTTTGAAAAGTCAATGAGCTAGTTGAGGAAACTGGTACTTGCTAAAGATATGGAAGGGATTTTTCTATTTTTCGTGATAGGTAAATTATTTCACACGAAAGTTCATTTTGGCACTTGGAAACAGCATTAATTATATTGTAGGGTTCTTACCGATGGTTATTTGTTTGGTCAAACTGGTGGTGGATCCCATGGCTAAAAACTTTATCATTTGCTTTTGTAGAAATTTAGGATTATTAATAAAGGATTATCTGAATGTGCACATATAAATATTGCAGGTAACTGGAGGGAAGAAGTCTTGGTCAAAGTGAGATCTGTGCAGTTCCTTGTTATTTCTCCTTACTTTGGAGTGCTCACCTCTATTTGTGGTGCTGGTTTCTCTCTCTCTGAGGGAGAACCCTGATTGTTTCCAGGGCTTGGGAAGCTGATATATTCTGTGGATCTGCGGGGTCCTCTTCATCAAGTAAAAATTCCCTGGTGTACTTCTTGGCTGTTTTTGAAATAGATACAGGTCTTACTGGGAATGTTTCCTGGACTTCTGAGCTTGTTTTTATGTTTGTTTGCTGCTGTATTATGTACCCCTCCTTCTTCCTTCCTTCTCCTCCTCCTCCTTCTTCTTCTTTGCACATGCTAGGAAACCATTTTCCTTCTGAGCTTCACCCCATCCCTTTAAATTTTTTTGTTTTGAGGCAGGATCTTGCTAAGTTGCCCAGGCTGGACTCGAACTTGCGATCCTTTTGCCTCAGGCTCCCGAGTTGCTGGGGTCACAGGCTTGAGCCACCGTGCCTGGCCTGCTGTATCTTCTTTTGCAGGCTCTGGTGTAGTGCACTGGATTGGATCACATCCCTCTGCACAGAACAGGGCTTCTGGTTTCTCTGCATCCTTTCTTCAGGGCCGGGCAGGGGGACTGAAGGATCATACCTTTTCTTGGTCTGACTTTGTTGCTTATCACTTTTTCCTGCTGGCTTACAGGGACTTTCATTCTCTTCTTCCAAAGTTGCTGGTTCCTCTGCATCCAGGTGTGTTTTGTGGAAGGCCGGATTGTCCTCACCTGGACTTTTAAAGGGAATTTCCTGGCTCTCTGGTGCTCTATCTTCCTCTTCTTTGGTCACTGGGCCCTGGGTCTTTAACTCTTTTCTGCTGTCCCCCTTTTCACAGAGCTGTGTTACAGTGCAGTTGGTATCCAGGCCACCTGCCTCCAGAGACTTTCTGCTTTTGCCTTTTCTTGTGGACTTCTGTACCTCTGGGGTTCTACTGGGCTCCGCAGCTGCATCTGGGCTCTTGGTCCCTGTGCTGTGACTCTTGAGGTCCACTCCCGCAGGCTCTTCCTGTTCCTCTCGGAGATGTGTCTTTTCTTCTCTGACTAACAGCACCACGGCTTTCTGTGCCCTGTTCTCACCTGGTGCTCCACACTTCTGGAGATCTGGGTTATGATGGTGACTTTCTTGCACAGACCTTCTGTGTGGGTGCGCTTGACTCTTGGAATTCCCTTGCATATGTAGTTCACCTGTCTCTGAGTTGCTATCACCTTCCCCTGGAGACAGGCTACTGGGAGTTGTGCGAGACCCCTTGCAATTCTGTGCATCGGGGGCCTCAGGATCCTCCCCCTGGGAGCCACCTTCCTCTCCAATTGGCTTGTCACAAGGCTTGGTGGTCCTGCTATAGTCTCCTTCAGATTGCCTCTCAAGTGAAGTGGAGTCTTGGGCCCTTTCTCTGGCTCTTGGTGTCCCTTTGGCTGCAGGGCCATTTTTGCTGTCCACAAATGCTGGTGCTGTGTCCTCCTCAGGGTGTCTCATCTCTTCCCCTGGGAATGAGGTGCCTTCAGTTTCAGGGCGATTCTGATTTCTTTTTTCTGTGCTCAGATCCGGTGTGTCAGAATCTCCTTCTTTTGATGATCTTTGGAGCTCCTGATACGTCCCGTGCTGCGTGTGGGTTTCTGGGACTGGAGGCTGAGTTTTCTTCTCATATTCTTTCTGCGGTGCTGGTCCACATGCCTGAAGGCCTCTACTCTCTTTCCTTTCAGCTCGAATACCAGGTGTTTCTGAAACATCTTCACTACCACCTGAGACTTGTGGGTCCTTTATTTCATGTTCTCTTTCCTGTGCTGGTGACTCTTGGGTCTCAGATGTTCTCCCATAATCCTCAGGTTCATCGCTACCTGTAGTCTCAGTTGATGTCCTGTCGACATCCTTTCCTGGTTCTGGAGTCTCCAATGTTCTTTGGCCATCCTCGGGATTAGCTGATTTTTGTGTCTGAGATGGTTTCCCGGCAGCAGCTGGTTCTAGGAGGTGCTCTGACCTGGGTTCATTGTCACCTTGCAGGTGTGGTTCTTGTGCTTCAGAGAGGTTTTCAATACTCTTTCCTGGTACGGCCTCCTGATCCGGAAGTCCCTGTGTTGGGTCTTGTTTTAGTTTCAAGTTCTCTTCCTGTTCTTCAAATTGGTCACTTGTCTCATTACCGCTTTCCCTTCTGACTGGTTTAGCGCCCTCTCTGGGGACCTGCTTGGTAGGACTGCTAGTCTGCTCTGATCCTGCTGATGGTTTATTTGTCTTAATTTGGGCTCTGTCGTCTTCCATGGCCGGTGCATCTTGGGCGACTTCTTGGCTCTGTTCATCTCCTTGCAGGTGTTGGCTCTTCGGGCCCCTGGGCTTCCGTGCTCCTCTCGGCAGGTTATGAGTCTTGCTGCCCTCCTGCGAGTGCACTTTTTTGTGTCCAGTGGCCTGACTTTCTCCATCCCAGCTGAGCTTGGATGATGATGCTATTCCGGAAGGAAACAACACCTTTTCTTGAGTTGGCAGAGTTCCTCCCACTTGATGACCATTTCTTGTGATCGCCTGGAGATCCATATCATTTGACGTTGCCTTTTCTGACTGAGATACCTCTCTTGGTTCTGAATTTACTAATGACTTCATGTCAAGATAACAGAGGTCCAGTAAGCTGAAGATTGCAAGAACGAATTCATCGAAGTTGATGGTGCCATCATTGTTGGTGTCCAGAAGGTTCAGGTGTCTCTCCACAGCATGAATGACATGAGACTGCATGAAAGCATAGTGAGAAACAGCTTATTCATGGTCAAGTGTCCTGCATGAATAACTCCCGAGTCTTTTTATTGCCAGTGCTAGATGTCAAACCCAGGGGCTTACTCATGCTAGGCAAGTACTCAGCCTCTGAGATTCCTCCCCAGCCTAAGGATCCTCTTGTTTTGATCCCATTCACCAAGAGTGTAGGAAACTTCTCAAATCAGTAAAAATTTATTGGCTCTGAGTGCCTTTTTCACCAGAGGGCTATGACTAAGGTGCGCTTACACCCCTTGTGGACTGTAATTAGATGCATAGTGGTTTATGATTCCACCCACTCAGAAGCCTCCTTTGCTGGAGCAATAGTCCCAGTAAAGGAAATCTCATTTTCCCTGGGGGACTAGCTAAGTCACTGCAAGGGTTAAGCAAGCAAGACTACAAATCTTTCTCCCCAAAGTCAGCAACTGCCGAGGGCTGGCACCCAAGTGTAAATGGCAGAGATCACGTAAGCCCACCTTTCGTGAATGTGCAGCAGTGGCAAGTAGGGAAGAATTTGCACCCCTCTGTGAACGCCTCACCTGAAGAAAGTCCCCAGTCTCGCCCCGGAGGAGCCGTTTCAGTTCCCTGCAGGTCAGCGTGGCCTGGTCCCCATCCTCTCTGGCATATTTGTGGAATGCTTCCATTACGCAGAGGACGGCTGTCAGGAGCCGAGGCATCTTCACCAACTCAGGGGCGGCTGTGAGAGAGAGGGAGCGGTTCATTTCCCAGGTCAGGCCCTTCAGGAAAGGGACGCTGGTTGTCTTTTCTGCTCCTACCCCAACTGCACTTGTATCACCCGCTGGCTTAGACTCCTGTATCTGAATGCAGGCGTGACTTAGTGTCACACCGGACCCTGCGGTGAGATGAGATCTGTAACAGGTAGGCACACTGTGAGAGAGACATCTCACCCTACCCTGCAGCCAGTGGCAATATTCATGCATTTGGAGAACAGTTCATTGCTAGAAGAGGGTGAGAGAAGAATAAGCTCAAACCTAAGTATTGAAACCTATAAATGAAACTAACGCCGGGGTCCACCTTGGCTCAGTCTCACACCCCCTCTGCTGAGAAGAGAAAGGAGCTCACTGGTACAGCAAAGTGCAGACCCCTCAGCCCTTACCCCTCATTTAAATGACTCGATGAGCTCTTTTTAGTATAAATCGGAGTCTCGAGTCTGATTAAAACCATCTCAATGCCCATGCCATTGAAACAGTTTGTGCTTTCTTCAGAAAAAGAAAACCATCAAAGACGTTCCTAAAGAAAGTGCATTTTGGAATCTGCATTCCCAGTTGGGTGTCACGAATAGAGGTGACTTAGAGTGTGTTCCTTCTGCACCCTTAACACAGACTCACCCAGAGGCAAAGCTGCAGTAGGTCCTGAGTGTGCTCAAGCAGATGTCTGTGACACTTACCTCGTTCAGGAGCAGGAGCTAACAGGATGGGCAGCAGCGGCTGTGAGCCGGAGGCAGGCGCTGGAACCTTTTATTGAGGCCCTAATTGCAGAGTTACGGCGACACCCTCTGGGTCTGATGGCCTGATTCATCACCACGAGCCCTGGCCCTCCTTCTTGGCTCCTAGCTTGTCTTATTTTTATTTCCTTCTTTTAAGCAGCTTGGACCCTTAGCTTCTGACTCATTGAAAGGAACGATAAGGATTTTTGTTTGTTTGTTTACTGACTTTTGCGGGTTATAGTTTTGAGACCTCTTCTGGGCTTCACAGTGTTTTTTTTTTTTTTCTTTTTAACCTGAGGACACAATTATATTGCTGTTTGACAAATCATAGAACTGGCAGAGCCCTCAGAAGTCATCTGGTTCTGCCTGCAGGATGGCCTGTATTTGACCTAGCTATGAAAGATGGGTGTCTAATATGTGTTTAAAAATAAAGGCCTCATTTAGTCATTTGACAAAAGTAGAGACAGCAGTCAATTTAGCTATTTTAATACTATATTCTCCTTACCCAGAGGCACAGTTAGGGGGAAAAAGTCTTGCTAGGTATGCAGAACTTTGGCTACTTATGAGTGCTATTAAAAAATCTGCTTTTAGAATCTGGAAAAGCTGTTGTTGCTATTGATGCATAACATACTATTATTAGTCTTTATATATATATATATGTATCACACACACACACATATATATGTAAATTGAATTTTGGGAAACTTTAACGGTGCTGCCAACTTTGGAAAAAGCCATCCCAATTTACTGTGTTAACTTGGCATTGTACAGAAATGGACAATCATATTGGTCTAGAAATGTTAATTTATTTTATTTTATTTTTTTTCCATGTGTACAGGGGTAACACATCATACTAAATATGTAAGGTCATATCTACGAGGGTTTGATTACAGAAACTAATAAAGTATTCTCTAAATAATGAAAAAAGAATAAGATAAGACTATAAGAGCGAGAAACAATTTAAATATGTTCAGGGACCATTTTCATCTCCAGAGTTAAGGATTATTTTGATGTTACATCATTGCCTTTTCTCTTTTACTTTCCTTTTTAGTTTTATTTTAGGATTCCCTATTTTTAATGTTCATACAGAGATTTCTTTAACTGAAATACCGAATAGTTTCTTTGGTGTGAAAAACTATAATAGTACACAGGATCCTAATGAGGCAATTAATAATGTGAAATAGGAAGTAAAGGGCTAAAGGTGTAAGGAAAGTGGGAAGGGTGGGGGAGAGGTAATAAGGGAGAGGAAAAATATGAGAAACTGAAAAAATGGAAATAAAGTGTTTGTAAATGGGGAGGGGAGGAGGGGGTGAAGGGAGGGCAGGGACAAGGGGAAAAATGAGAATCAAGACCTAGTATGTAAAGGTACAGAATCCCAATGATGAATGTAACTGTATTTGTATACCTAGATTGTACCAATAACCTCAATAAAAAGGAAAAAAAAAAAAAAGAAAAAAATATCTGCTTTTAAAAGGCATTTTTATGGTTCAAGGAGCACAGAAACAAGCATCCATATTGCCATGTTCTCTCTGTAACGGAGAAAGGGAGGCATAAAGGCTGAGGTGAAGACAGAGCTTGAGTCTGAGTGGGAAAATGCGTCTGTTACCTCGTAGATCTGAGTCCCTCAGAGTACAGCGTATTTAATTAACAGGAGAATTAGATCCAGTTGTTTTCTTAGGCACGAGTAGAGTATGTTTTAAAACACTTGTGCCTCTTTTTCAAAGGAGGTAAGAAATAGACAACAGATCATGGACATGAGTGTAAAGACAAAGACCAGATTAACAAAGGTGGGGGAGGTGGTGGTGATGAAATGAGAGAACGGAGGCTGAAGGCTGCACCGCAGTCGAGCAGCCACCTGTGCTGAGTTTCCAGACAATCGAGACAAGCACGAGAAAACTGAACATGGGAGGGGGAGGGGCCGCTCTGATGATTTACATTTCTGTACAATTTCTTAGCATCTCCCTAAAAGGGGAGAAGACTTCTACTGAGAATTGGGATTGGCGTATGAGGGCCATCTTAATTCTGATTGGTTAACATCCCCTCAATGTCAGCTATTTCTCAAGAACTATGCCAGGCCCTGGGGTATTGAGAGTTGAATAAATTATAGTTCTATCCTGTATCTCACAGGCCAGTCTTAAGAATAAAACTGCATGAGATTGCTGTGGAATTCAATATGGAGATACCTCAAAAAAGTAGGATTAGAGATCCTGTTTGACTCAGATATTCCTCTACTGGGTATCTTCCCAAAAAGAATTAAAAGAACCATACCACAGTGATATATGTGTACCCATGTTCATAGTAGCACAATTTACAATAGCTAAAGCTTGAAACTGCCCAATTGCCCATCAACTGGAGGCTGGATAAAGAAACAAAGTTTTTAAAATATAAAATGAAGTACTACTCAGCCATAAAGAATGATAAATTAGAGACATTTACAGATAAATGGATGCACACCGAGGACATACACTTAAGTGAAATAAATAGGACATATGTATAAATACTGAATATTTTCTCTGGTACAAGAAACTGAAAGTGTAAATAAAGATTAAAATGAATAATTGATAATGTGAAATAGGAAGAAAAGGTCCAAAGGGATGGGGAAAGTGGGAGAGTTAGAGGAAGGGAAAAAATATGAGATAAGAAATAAATGGATTTAATCCCCAGTACCAAAAAAAAAAAAAAAAAAAGGCAAGGGATTTAGCCCAGCAGTTCGGTGGCCTGCCTTGCAAGTGCAAGGACCCGAGTTCAATCCCTGGTACCAAAAAAAAAAAAAAAGAAAAGAAAAGAAAAAAGAAACAAAGCCTTTGCAAATAGGAAGGGGCGAAGGGGGAGGAGGGAGGGCAGGGGAATGGGGAAAAATAAGAACCAAGATACATCATGTAAAGGTACAGGTTCTCAGTGATGAATGTAAATGTATTGTATACCTAAAATGTACCAATAAAAGAATTTAAGAGAGAAAAAAGGAATAGAACTGCATACGTTCAGGCTGAAATGGAAAGAAAGACTTAGGGGAAATATAAATAACTACATTTAGATGTCTGAATGGTTTTAATGGGTGTGGAAGAGAAAGGAACTAATGTTCATTGAACTCTCATGACATGTCAGGTGCTTTACATGGGCGATCTTAGGTCCTTATAGGTACTTATTATTCTCTGCTAACAGATAAGAAAGTTAAACCTCTCATTGTTGAGCAATTTCCCTATAGATTACCTTGTAATGATAGAGCTAGGATTCAAAATTGAAATGTTGTAAGGACAAATTTTATTTATTGCCCTTTGCCGTGCACCGTCTCCTAATTAATTTGGCTCGATCCGCTAAAAGAACGTCCACCAGCCTTAAGTAAGTACAAAAGGGAAAGTTTATTGAAGGATATGCGCATACAGAAAACAAAAGTAAGAATGGAGAGGACAAAGAAAGAGAGTCCTCTAACAGCAAGAGGGACTCTATCCGGGAAATTACCCTTAGGCTCTCTGGCAACAACACCGGAATGTTGGAGGAATTAGGTTCATCACTCGCAACACAGCACGGGTCTCTTCAGCAGTCCCTTCGGCTACAAGTCTCATTCCCGGGCGTAAGACAGCAGCAGCAGCCTGGGCTAGGTGGGCTGTTTTTATAGCTCTCTAGACAAAGGTAGTAAAACTACCTGTACTTTTGGCGCGGAAAAAGGTGAATGTGCTTGCAGTCACGTCCCAACCAGGCCCTGGCCAGGGGTCCGGGAGGGGCGGAATGCATCACATTCCTTATCTTGATGTTAAGAACATCTGGTCTTTTTAACAAAGTCCTTCCTGCTTTTTTCCAGGGAACTGGCCAGGTATCCAGGGAAAGAAGAGATGAACTAGTGATTATGCGCCTTAGAGAGCCGAAAGCCTTAACCCAAGCCTTTTCAACTTAAAGTTTTAACTTTCCTTACAAATGTCTCAGGAACATATGTCTTTGAGCCCATGTTGTTCCATTAACTTGACTTCCTTATTCTGCATAATGCCAGAGAATAAAGCTAGAATTGAAATTTTTCTAGAAAGAAGGCTCCAGGGCTGGGGATTTAGCTCAGTGGTGCTGCTGCCTGCCTTGCAAGTGCAAGGTCCTGAGGTCGATTCTGGGAACAAAAAAGAAAGAGAGAAAGAAAGAAGAAAGGAAGGAAGGTAGGAAGGAAAGACAGAAAGGAGGCTCCAGGTCTTAGAAGAGCTTTCTGATGAGTAATGTTGTCTAACAATATGCAGTGCTCCTAAAGCA